CACATGAAGAAACCATGCACAGGCAGCCCCAGAACCACAGCCAAGTTCCCAAGTGTCACTCAGCACCAACTGCCAGACATACAAGTGAGCCATTTTTTTTGTCTGGCCCAGTCAAGCCTTAAGATGACAGCAACCCAGCTGCCACCTACCTACAACTGCACAAGAGACCCCAAGTAAAAACCACCTGGCTGAACCAAATCAACCCACAGAACCATGAGAGATCATACTAAAAAGATGCATCAGCCATTATGTTTTCGGATGGTTCATCACAGCAGAAATAAATAACCAGAACAGCGTCCAACCTGAAAGAGGTTGTCAGTACTCCTGGATGTTCTCCCACCTGTCTTTGCACCACTCCTTCCTCCTCATCTGAACCTTCACCCCTCGCCACCTGCCTCTCCCTTTGCAGCAGCGCATCTCATGGTACAGATTAGAGTTTAGCCTGCAGAAAAGGCAGGGAGAGGAGGATTGCTTAGAAGGTCTGTGCGGCTTTAAGGGTTGCAAATCTCTCAGAAATCCAAGAGCAGGAATCACTCCAGCCAGTGGATGAGGCTGGGAAACGGCAGGTGAACAGAATTCAAGGAAGTGCCAAGTGTTTCTCTTCCCCTGCTGGCATCCACCATTCACTCCAAAAATACTTGCCAAGTGCCCATTCAGGTTTCTCTCAACTCAACCCTCCGACGTCTGCCTCTCTAGGCTCTTCACTTCTCCTGATGCTTCCCACCAGTGTCTACATCATCTACACTTTATCTTTAGTTTACATTATAAATCCTGTTGCTCCACAACTGCCCCTTGCTCATGACACACACTTCCTCCCTTGCAGGGTCCCTATTCAATGTGATGACCTCTCAAAATGCAATTTGGCCACTTCAGCTTCAGCTTAATGTCCCAGGCCAAATTCCTGAAAGCAAGAACTGATGGGCCACCCCTTGGGCCAAGTGTGTACCTCTGGTCTGATCAGCACTCAGAAAGCCACACGTGGTTGTGGGGTGGTTCCTAATAGGAAGGGCGGACAGAGTGACAAGGCAGTGGCTTGGAGAACATAATGGCTCCATCACTAATCTCTGTGATTCTTGGCACAACCAACTTCCCATCTCAGGTTTTTTTGTTTCCTCCTGTGTAGAATGAAATCGTTCCATCACGTGGGCGGAGGGAGGGATTGCACCTGGTAGATGTTCCAGAATCTAAAAGTAGTTGAAGCCTGTAAAGTTTGGGAAAGGATACCTGCTTTATTTCTCAATCCTCAAACAACCCTATCCAGTAGCAACTGGTATTATCTTCATTTCACAGTTGGGGAAACTGAGGTGTGGCAAGATTAAGTGGCACATTCAACTCACACAGTCAGTAAGTGACTCAGTTGGGACCCAGACACAAATCTGCTTGCCATCAAAGCCTGTGTTCTGATTCATTCGCTGTGCACCCTTTATCTATGCCACAGTCTGTGCCCAGGAGGAAAAAAATGATATAAAATGAAAAGGGTTGAGAAATACTAGAACAGTCTGTAATATTTCTTTCAGCACTCCATCTTCCTCTCTTATGCTCTAATATTTTGTTCTGTTAAGCATTTCAGGACACCGGCGGCCTGATAAGTAATAATGAGCTGGATGTAAACCAAAGGCCTCAAGGAGAGATGACTGCTCGCAATGACATCTCCCCCCATGGGACAATTTCATGATATCACATAATACAAGGGTGGGGAGATGCCGCCATCCCTTTCTATTAATACCATTCAGTGAAAATTTTAAAGAAACAGGACTTCATCAGCTGTCGTGGCTGGTAAAGTGGCCAAAGGCCTTAGTCTCTGTAACTCTGAGAGCCCTCCGAGGCTGCGCATTCAGAGCATGTCGGGCCAATGAGCACCCCCATTAGCCGAGCAGCCTCTCTAATTAGCACAGCCCCTAAGGAAGGAGGGCAGAGGCCTGGGTCAATGCGGAGAGGGTCCTGCCCTCTCTGTGGATCACGGTCCGGAGAACAGGTTTCACAGGGTCTCTAATGTGCATTTGAATGTCTTGCTCTGTGCTGTCACTCCCTGGCTTGAATACAGATGAACCCTGCTGAAACGCAGCAGCTGCTACAGGGAGGGGGCTGGCTGGAGCCTAATGTCTGCCAGAAGACGGAGAATTCCTCCACCCAGGGGCTCTCAGCTGGGGCTCCCTGAAACTAGAACACACTTAAGATATCAGTAACAGGGGGCTGCACCCAAAACAAGGGAGGAGGGCATGCTTATGGCACTCAGCATTCAGTAATTCCAGAAAAACTCTGTAGAGGTCTTTACATTTACCAATTTTGTTTAAGCAGTTTTTGTTTTAATTACACATGGCATAGGTGGTGGAAATCATCATCTTTCATGATAGCTGTGCTCATGTATAGCGGTAACTATATCCCAGGCACCATTCTGAAAATTCTTAAAATATTAACTCATTTACTGTGTACATGAATGCTGTAAATTACATAATCCATTTTTATCATAATTTCACAGGTGAGGAAACTAAGACACAGGCAGGATAAAGAACTTTTCTTTTGGGCTAAACAATTAAATTATGAGGCTGGGATTTAAACCTAAACAAGTGTGCACCATGGTTGTATCAGTTAGCTTCTGCTATGTAACAAACATCCCAAAGCTTAATGGTTTAAAATGGCATATTTATTATTCTTAATTATTATGTGAGTGACATGGTTCTTCTGGTCTGTGTCATCTCAGCTGATCTCTTTGGTCAGCTAGCAGCTCTGCCAGGGCTGGATGGTCTAGAATGGCCTCATCCATGTGTCTGGTGGGTTGGCTTCAGGTTGGCTGGGGTGCTAGGAATGACTTGGCTGTGTGTCCCTCATCACCCAACAGGCTGTCCTGGATTTATTCACATGCAGGTGCCACAGGGTCCTAAGATGAACAAGAGAGGGAAGATTCTCAATGAGCCAGTGCTTTTAGGGCCTCTGCTTGTGTCATATTTGCCAATGGTCCACGGGCCAAAGCAAGTTACCAGGCCAGCCCGTCAGTGTGGGAGGGGAATGCCCAAGGAATAAATAAGGTCTATTTTTACAATCTCCACAATAGTCTGAAATCTGAACCATTCATTTGTCTGCCTCATAGGCTTCTAGTAATCTTAACCCAATTTTGGTTCTCAGTGGGGCCCAGAGCAGGAATAGTTGAAAGAAAAATCTCAACTATTTTCCAAAAGGGGCCACATACTTCTCACCCATGCCCAAGTCATTCCTGCCTTTCTTCCATTGCCCCCACCCAATTATCATCCCCACCACCACCACCACCATTGTGGGGAAATGAAATCTGATTAAATGCTCATGGATGGAAAAGAAAATGGATTGTGATTCAGGGAATTTGAATTTAGTTACTCGAAACTAGCTGTGGGACCTTGGGCAGGTCACTTCCATTTCTCTGACCCTCAGTGATTTTTACTTTTTCAATGTAATAGCCCCAATTTTTCTATAAACATGAATTCAGTCCCCACTGTGTGCTAGGCATTGCACTGAACAACACAGATACCATTGTGAAAACAGACACAGTCCTTGACTTTATGAAGCATATAGCATAATGGGATAAACAGATGTTAATCAAATAATCTCCATAACGAGCATATAATTACAGACTGAGATAAGTGCTCTGAAGGACAAGAGCCCAATTCTATAAGAAGTTACTACAAAGGTGTAGTCTGGTGTAGACCATGAGAGAGGAGCATGAAGGAAAGTCCCTGTCAAGTGAAGGACAGTTGAGAGGAAATTAACTACGAGGACCAAGGCAGATGACATTGAACCCAGAGTTATTGGGAGAAAATTCTCCATAGATCTCTTGCATTTCTGCATGTTTTGAAAGCAGAGGGCCTGTCTGCCTTTGTCTTGGGCTATATTTTCAAGGATATTTGGAAAACAACCTTGAAAGATAGAGATGATATCTTCTTCTACAGCAATGGGTAGGCATGCTCACTGCCCATTGTAGAAGATTCAGGTTTCAGCTGGGTGTGGTGGCTCATGCCTGTAATCCCAGAGCTTTGGGAGGCCAAGGTGGGAGGACTGCTTGAGGCCAGGAGTTTGAGACCAGCCAGGGAAATATAATGAGACCCTGTCTCTAATAAAACAAATTTCTTTTCTAATCAACTGGGCATGCACCTGTAGTCCTAGCTACTCACAAAGCAGAGGCAGGAGAATCACATGAGTCCAGGAGTTTGAGGTTACAGTGAACTATGATTGCATCTACCGTACCCTAGCCTGGGCAACAGGGCAAGGCCCTGTCTCTAAAAAAAAAAAAAAAAAAAAAAAAAAGAAACAAAGAAAGAAAGAAGAAAAAAGAAGATTCAGTTTCCCTCTTCACATCACACTCTTAGAACTGGGGCTTAGAGAACCAACACAAAAATGACGATATTCTGGACTCTGCTATTGCTATGAGTCGTAAATTATCCTTTATCTCTGACCCAGGTGTCTCATATCTTTTGCAGCATCCTTGAAGCTAAGGCCAACTAACAGGTTAGCTTGCAAGGAAGTTAACACTCAGATCCTTCATGGTTCTTAATATTTGCAGGTTCCCTCAAAAAAGTGACATACAAACTGGAGCTTAAAGGATTAATAAAGCAGGAGGACAGAGGGAAGGAACGGAGTTCTAGGCAGTGAATATGTGCAAAGACTTGGAAGTGATGGTAAGCAAGGACACACCAAACAAAATTTGCTCAATCTAGCAGGACTACAGAATCTGGTGATGAAATGGAAAGAGATGAAGCCAGAGGGGTGGGAAGGAGTGGGAAGATGATGTTTAGCCGTGTTAAGCAGGGAGACTTTATCCTGAAGGCAAGTGTAAACCACTGAAGGCTATTTTGGGCAGACTGGACTCAAAAACCATTGAGGGAAATTTTGAATGCCCTCTACCACCTTAGCCTCCAGAACCTTTTCTACCTCAGTACCGCCCATGAAATAGCCTTGGTTGCAACGTAGGTTGGCATAGCAACTGATGATGTGGTTGTTTTCACCACAGTTTTATTTTTATTATCTCTAGATTGTCAAGCTGGCCCTAAGTGTTTGGACAATCACAGAGCACTGGATGTGGGGAAGAGAGCTAGAAAACCAACCTCCCTCTGGCTGAAGAGTGAACAGCAAAAAGAAGGTAATTTATTTTGCAAGACTGAGACCACTAACCAGTCCTTTGTGGCCTGACTAGTGACTGCTTGTTTAAGCCAGTCAGGCCAGGTAAAATAACCTCTTTCCTATAACTTATGCAATACACCGTGAGAGACATTACACCTGGGGCTGCAAAAAGAACGAATGTCCCTTATCTGAGTGTATGTGGGATATACAGTATATTTGAGTGTAGAGTCAGACCACTTGGGTTTAAATCCTGGCTTTATGACTTCAGGCAAATGAATTAATCGCACTGTGCCTCAGTGTCCCTACCTGAGAAATGGGACCTAGCTCAACAGGCTGCCATGAAGATTACATATGTAAAGGGTCCAGAACAGTGTGTGGCACGTTATATGCATTCAAGAAATATTGACTATCATTATTAGTGTTTATTTGAAATATATATCCTCACAACCTCTATCGTTCAAAAACTTCAAATATTTACCTCATTCCTAATAGAGCAGGTATCATGCAGCAAATTAAACACCTGTAGCTACCACATCATTTTCAAAGAAACTCCCTCTTAGAGTCCGTGGAAATCACTAAGCTTTGTCAAAACCTGCCAAAATACCGTTGAATGGCCCTACTTCAACACAATTTGTTGTTAGCTCCCAAGTACTTACAAAGTTTTCTTCCTGAGGGAGACCTGGGGCTTGTGGATTAGGGGGTCGTCCACAATTGCCAGTGGAACCCAGAGTCTTTAAACTGGGGAAGATCCACAGAACATGAAAAGCAATAAACCATTATTGTTTTAATCTACTGTTTCAAAATGGTTAATTAGGAAGACACAACTGATAGAGGAAACAGATTCCTTGCGACGCTCCCTAAGATTCTGAGTCTAGGGTAGGGCCTGGGTAGCTACTGTTGACTTTTGTCTCCAGGTGATTCCAATTTACTTGGTTTCCATCAGGGTTCCCTCCAACCCTTCCTGATGATAAGAATCACCTGGAGATTCCTAGACCCTCACCCAGACCTTCTGAACCAGAAAGTCCAGGGGAGAGCTCTGGGAATTGAGAGACTGAATATACAGGTGGACAAAGGCTTGACCATAATAAAATTGAATTCTGAACCATTCTCTGTAGCAAACCCTCCAGGAAGCCAAACAACAACTCCTGCAGCCATCGGCTTAGAAGAACCAAGACGTAATCAATAACTGACAATTTTCCTAGTTCTTTTGATTTATTATTGTTTTTTATAAAGACGGAAGTCTTACTATGTTTCCCAGGCTGGTCTCAAACTCCTGGGCTCAAGCGATCCTCCCACCTCAGCCTCCCAAATTGTTGAGAACATAAGCGCGAGCCACTGCACCTGGCCCAATTTCCTTAATTCTTGGCCTTGCTTCCAATTTAAGACCAAACAGAGAAAGTCAAACATGCCCCCTAACAAATCTCATGGGGTTTCCTGCCCCTAGTTAACTTGTCTCTAGCTTCTCCTGGCCAGCAACCTCCACTCAGGGCCCACCTGAAGTCTCCCCCTGCTTCCCACCTCTACAGCCTCCCCACTCCTCCACCTACCTTTGAGCCTCTACCAAACAGAAGTGAGGATGGCTGACTCCCTTGCTGGAGCAAGCCCCAAATAAATATCCTTTGCTTGTTCTCATTTGGGTGGTCTTTTAAAAATTACAACTGAATTTATATATTTGATAAAAACAAGTGATTCTTATCACTGGGAAAATTTGGAACACACCCTCCCAGACCTTGCTACTCAAAATGTGATTCCCAGAACAACAGCAGCAGCATTGAAATGTAGAATGTCAGTCCCGGCTGATGTTACTGATTTTTAACAAGAACCCCCGAGGTGATCCTCTAGCACACGAAAGTGTAAAAAGCATTAACCAGGAGCATTGATCAAGTCAGTGGGTCTCAACCCTGGGAGCACATTAGAATCCTCTGGGGCTGATTTATTAGTCCTGGGTAGGACTTGCATATCAGTGGTCGTAAAAGCTCTCCAGGTGATTCTTATGTGCAGCCAGTGCTGAGAATCACAGATGTAGAACAAGGGTTCCCACACTTTGGGGGTTGTCAGAATCATCTGGAGAACTCACCAGGTGCACAGAGGTCCTGACTTGATAAAAGAAGATGCGCCTGGGCCTTGCTCGTCTTACCAAGTTCCCAGGTGATTCTGAAACTGACCAAAGTATGAAAACTGATCTAGGAGAAGTGCTCCAAGGGAAAGAGTCCCATGGAGACCTCCTTGGAACTCCAAGGAGGGTGAGACAGTTCTTGTTTCTTCCCCATATCTTCTTCCTCAATTCGACTTGGCCAGCACCACGGCTTATAAAGTTTATGGAATGAAAGAACTCAGAACTGGAGGGAACTGAAGGCATCTTCAAGTATGAAAAACAGAGATTTGCCAGCCAAATTCAGCTCATGACTGTGTACTTTTTTTATTAGATAGTTTTATGGTTTTTAAGGTTTAAATCCATTGCCAACATTTTTTGTTGTTGTTGTTGTTTTTGGAGACAGAGTCTCGCTCTGTTGCCCAGGCTGGAGTTCAGTGGCACGATCTCGGCTCACTGTAATCTCCGCCTCCTGGGTTCAAGCCATTCTCCTGCCTCAGTCTCCCGAGTAGCTGAGACTATAGGCTCCCGCCACCATGCCCGGCTAATTTTTTGTATTAGTAGAGACGGGGTTTCACCATGTCAGCCAGGATGGTCTCAATCTTCTGACCTCGTGATCCACCCGCCTCGGCCTCCTAAAGTGCTGGGATTACAGGCGTGAGCCACCACTCCCGGCCGCCAACATTTTTTAAAAGGAGATTGAATTTTCAGATTCTTCTGGAAGCTCAAAGGACCTGGCAAAGAGGGACAAGGGAGAAGAGGGAGGGGAAGGAGGGGGAAGGAGAGAATGGAGAGATGGAGGTGAGAAAGGGGAATAAGAGGGGGCAGAAGGAGGGTGAGGGGGAGATATCTGCTGTGTCTTCTTTTAAATTTCTTTTCATTTTTGTGGGTACATAGTAGACCACATTCCTACATGACAGCAATTGGCCAGAACAGCCCTTTAAAATGCGGCATGTGCTCACCAGTTTGCCACCGTCCCTGCCTGATCCACATCACTCATTTTTGTTACCCGCTTGGCCCTGCGAGCATCTAATTTGGAGTCTTTATATATAGAGAGTTCAACCTCGTCTTTTGTGGAAGAAAAAATCGAGCCCTATAGTGGAAGCTGTTTGTCCAACGTCCCTCACTTATGGCCAGAACTGGGACTTGGATCAAAATTCTGACTGCTTTTTGCTTGTAGGGGGCTGGGGATTCTGTTGGGTTAGCTTCTCCCTTCCTGAGATCCCAGCCAGAGGCCAAAGACCTAGATCTCCTCAGTTCCCACTTAGAATCCAGGGCAAAGCACTTTGAAGTATAGGCAACCTCTGCTGTTGTCTTTTGGGCTGTCACCTACTCAGACACACCTATGCAGCAATTTACTTAGCCTCTCTGCATGTCAACAAACTCATCTACACAATGAGAGTAACAACGGTGCCTGATCTATAGGGTTGTTTTGAGGGTTAAATTACATTGTATTTGTAAACCATTATTCTGGCACTTGAGACATAGGAAGGGCTCCAATAAGTGAACATTAAATGACATTAATGATTTTTTTTCAACATATGTGCTCATCTGAGAGCACCACCACTGTCCAGCTTTAAAATGGTGTTCAGTTTCTGCCAGTCTCAAACTAACTCAGAAAGCAATGTGTTGAGAGAGCCACCTATTGGAGAATAGCATCAGGCAAAGCTCTTAAAATGTGCTAAGCCTCAGCTTTTTGTCATCTGTAAAGTAGGGATAATAATAGCACTTACTCCTTAGAGTTGCCATGAAGTTTAAATGAGATAATGCATGTAACAGCGTTGCTTATCAAGTGCCCAGCTCCCAATCAATAGCCTTGGGGTTTTGACTCCTTGAAGTAGAGTCACCACCTAGTGGCATTAAGAGAGTAACTCCAGGCTTTGCAGGGCATAAGAGAAAAGATCTGCAAAAATAGAGTCCCCCATGAGTGGTGGGTACAAAGTTCTGATTTGACTGTGGAAGTCAAATTCAGGAAGTGACTGGCCCCTCCATGAGCTTAGGAGTTGTCCCCAAGTCCATCCCCGGACCACTCTCTGCCATTGCACTCCATGCTCCGTAAACACCCTGGCTTTTCAGCTCGTTTGGGAATTCTCCTCTTGATCTTGGCCATCCGGAGTCTGGAATGAACTTCCTGGCACCTGGGCTTGGTTCATGGTTGTCTCAGTCATTGAGGCTGCTATCACAGAGCACCATAGACTGGGTGGCTTAAACAACAAGGTTCTTGAGGCTGGAAGTCTGAGATTAGGGTCCCAGCATGTTGGGTTCTTGGTGAAGGCTCTCTTCTTGGTTATGACCTTACAGGGTCTTTCCTTGGTGAGTGCAAGGAGAGAGAGGGACAAGGGAGGAAGAGAGAGGGGAGGGAGAGGGAAGGAGAGAATGGAGAGATGGAGGTGAGGAAGCGGGGATAAGAGGGGGCAGAAGGAGAGTGAGGGGGGGATATCTTCTGTGTCTTCTTTTAAATTTTTTTTTTTCATTTTTGTGGGCACATAGTAGCTGCATATGTTTATGAGATACATGAGATGTTTTGGGATAGGCATGCAATGTGCAATAATCACATAACAGAAAATGGGGAATCCATCCCCTTGAGCATTTATCCTTTTTGTTACAAACAATCCAGTTATACTCATGGTTATTTTTAAGTGTGCAGTTAAATTATTTTGACTGTAGTCACCCTGTTGCGCTATCATATACTAGGTATTAATAATCACAGCATGGAAAATGGGGTATTCGTCCCCTCAAACATGTATCCTTTGTGATTACAAACAATACAATTATACTCTTTTAGTTATTTTAAAATGCAAAGTTAAGTTATTATTGTGTGCCTTCCTCTTTTAATAAGAACCCTAACCTCACCATGAGGGCCCCACTCTCATGACCTAATCTAACCCTAAGCACTTCCCAAAACTTGGGAGGCATGGTATTTAACC